GGGTCTCGATTACCGTATTGTAATCGGTGCCGAGTAGGGCAAAGTATCGAAGATGTCATTTGTGGCCTCGCCGACAAATCGGATCGTAGGGCCGAACTCACGCAAAGTTTTCGAAGCGCCTACGCCACTTCCGCCACTGAAGACCAAGGCTTGCTCTATTGCTGAGTGGATCGAACGGTGGAAAAGGTGGTAAACCGCTGCGAGGAATGATATTTAATGTTGAGATGGCGGTCGCGCCCCGCGGGGGGTACTGCCATATATGGGCTATATAGGTATGTGCCGCTGTGAAGGGTATGGTTTTCAAGCAGTTTACTCTAGGATAGGGTATATAAATCAGAGCGTTTGGCTCTAGAATAGGGTATCATTTTTCAGGAAACTGATCAGTTGGTTGAAGATTTTGTCTAGACTAGGTACACAGCTACTCTAGGATAGGGGGATTTGGGGAGTTTACTCTAGTATAGGGTAGCAAAATTCAGCTGAACTAGCTCTGGTAAAGGTTAAGGGTTCCAGGCTCCCAGCGGCACATCCCTACCCAGAAATTCCTAAAGGGCCCCCCCCCCCGGGTATCTAGTGCTTTCCGGGAAAGCACTAGATAACATCGACCTAAACCAGATGAGTCATCGATATGTCATTGGCTTCTTACAAAATGACTGAAATGATCGCCTCGACTTCAGCAAGTTCAAAATGAAAGGAATACTATTGAACATTGTGCACTTTAATAACTATTTTTAGAATGTTTTTTAATGAATATCAAGTACAAAGATCTGATCCACGTACTGTTACCCTTCATTGCCCAGTGAGTAGATAGCGCGACAAGGCAAGGCATATGCTTGATCATTAGGCCGATTTAGCAACAGAACGGGAACGTCAGTTGACGACAGGGCGCGCAAATCAAACAACTGGCTTGACCAATGGCTGAGCGGCAGACTGGACACCGGAAGTCGAGTTTAGTCCTTTTCGCGAGCTTTGCCGTTGTTAAATGAAGTTCCTGTTCACAGGGTCCAGAGGAGTTTCGTGTGAATAAATGAATTACTTATTTGAAGTCTCACCTTGAAAAATGTCTATACCTATCGCTTAGCACGATTAATTAGCCCAATGGGATCTTTATAAATCTACTGTAAACGATTTCTTCGCTTCTTATCTG